GGGTTTTATAAAGTGGTCAGAGTCTTATCAAATTCAGCACAGCAGCATGAATCTAGTGCTGCTTGACACAACATGCAGTGTTTTACACAGTGCATTACTTTTTGCATTGCTAAACGATGAAGGCATTTTCATATGTGAATCACATGAAAATGGAGAGCAGTGGCAAAGGATGAAAAACAAAGGTGGTGCAGAAAAGGCAATAATAAAAGATTTGAGGAGTGTATGTCAGAGCAGGTGGACAGTGAGAGATGCTGAGAGGAGCTTGGTTGCATAGAATTAGTTTGATGTAGATTAACGGTCATGACTGTAACACATTTACCAAAAGAAATCGCCATTTTGTCACTAGCTGGTCAGTCGCAATTACGGCAAATGAACAAAAATAAAGAGTGAAAAATAGAAAAATTTGTTAACTAACCTATACTTAACTAGCTAATACCTCTCAGTGCTAAGTGAGCCAGTCACTGTTTTCAGAAATAAAATTTATTTTTTAACCTTTACAACAGGCTAGTAGTGAGGCAGTCTTAGTCTTTGAAAAGTCTCTCACTGAGCACACTTGGACTAACACACATGCCGCTACTCGTGCTGAGACCTCCAAAACATCACCATCATCATCACCACAATTTAGAATCCATCACACCATCACAGTGATCAGACTGGAACATGTAGAGCCCATAGCTCCATTCTTGGAAGCGAGAGGATGGGTTTAAATGTAGGGGAAGCACCTGTCGAGGGCAAGGAAGGGCCTGTTTGGCCTCTAACAATACCCAGCTAAAGAAGAAAATGGCTTTAAGAGTCCCGAGGGAGTCGAGCACAATTGCCTTTACCATAACAGAAAAGAGAGTTTGTCTTGTGCACACTGCACGGGAGCGCGCCAAACAACGAGTGAGTCACACACTCCACCAGAAATAAGGAGAAACTGACACACTGTATTTATGTAGACAGTTTCGTATTTCAGGTCAAAGAAATTTTGATTTCCCGTAGGTCCAAAATTATTGAAACAGTGATACTGTTTTGCTACTACAGCAGTAAATTTGTTTGAGACTCCATGCTAACTCTGTGTCAATGTTTAAGGCTGTTACAGTGACTTAAAGAAACAACAAGCAGAGCCACCTCTGGAGTAAGCTCAAGGTTTCTTTTTCATTTTCAAACAGGAGAGGAAAAGACTGTTTAAGCTTCTGTGAAAGTGGTTCATGTTTGCCTTATGGGCTAGTTCAGTAGAGGATTTTAAGATGTTAGTTGAGATTTTTTTTCCCTGTGCTCTGAGGTGACCTTTGAGAACTTCACCCTGACTGGCCATGTTGTTTTTCAATTTGCTTTCCTCTACGGAAATGGAGACACAGTATTGGAACACTGAGATGACTGATTATTTTCCAAGACCCTTCTACACAGATTAAAACAACACAATATTTGTAATAAGAACACTTAATGCATATTCTTAAGCTCTTTTGAGCCATTTAAATGCACTATCCATGCTAATAACAGCAAATATATTATTAACTTATTCTATTCTGTGTCCATTTTAGGTTTAAACAAAAACTCTCCCTGATTTCTCACTGTTTTGGTTGGAGAGCCTGAAGAACTCCACAAATTGATACATGTCCAAAAGTAGTCCATTATATAGACATCTTACAAATATATCACCTTCTAGGCATCAAAATTGCATTTGTTGCTAATCTGGCATGTTGTATGCACAGCACACAGTGTACAGTAGGACGAATGCTGACGTTCGATATGCTGCAGTTAACACCATTGACTGCTTCCCAGTTACAGCCAGTACAACCACAAAAGTGATAAATGTTGATTGCTATTTTTTCCTGCTCTATAGTTCGTAGTTTTTTTCTTTTTGTAACATGACCATGAGGATTTTTGCCTGTTTGCCTGGCTGAACTTGTTGACAACAATAGCATGTGTTGAGTAGGAAGGACTGAGGAGTTGAATCGGAGTTGACCATAATTGTGAGTTTACTGTTAATACAATAGTGAGTATGGCTTGTAATGAAGTCTTTTATTTAATGTTGAAAGTGTTGTATTAAACTAGCTTTAAGAATTAATGTTGCGCATATACATGGCAGGGTTATTAAAGGTAACTAAAACTGTTACTAAATGGAAAATTAGCAGTGAAAAATGTGATTTTTAACTGAAATAAAAATAAAAATGACACTTTTCAAAATCAAGAAAAGTATATCAAAACTATAATGTGCACTGTAGCAGAGTTTTTAAAGGAAAATTCCAATGCTTTTTTTAAAAGCATATTTTCTAGGTTTTACATATTCTTAAAACGATCTGGATGGATTTTTGTTCTTTGAAGGGGTAGCTTAATAACCAAAAAACAGTACTGTATAAAAGTTTTAGTAATCTAATAAAAATAGATTTAAAACAATATTTTCCAAATGTCTTCTCACAGCAACCAGTATTATTTGCATTTGGCATCCAATACCTGGTTAGCTTATCATTACTTCATTGCACTAAAATGAGGTTGCCTGGTGATGGAATTTAACAGATCGAGGAGAACTCTGGAAAGAAACTTTGCTCTTCAGACTAACTCAGATATCACTACTATTTTGAAAAAAAAAAATCTTGTTACTTTTTGCTGTATGTGTGTTTATTTGCAATTATTCAAATGATACATCATGATTTTCCAAAGATCATACATACATACATACATCATCTAAACCGCTTATCCTTCTGGGTCGCGGTGGGGTGCTGGAGCCCATCCCAGCTGTCATTGGGTGGAAGGCAGGATACACCCTGGACAGGTCGCCAGTCCATCGCAGGGCAGATCCAAAGATCATGTAAAACGTAAAAAATTAAACGGTTTTCTCTGCTCTAATTAAAGTTAAAGCTACATCCGATTCAGCTATTAAAGCTCTTTTTATTGTTGATGAACTGAACCAGGTGCATGAGTGCATTAGTTCATTTATAATTAGAGTTAAGTATTAGATGAAAGAAATAAATTAGTTACAATTGGTTTTTGGTGGCGTCTTTGCCTCCTCATGCTTTGAGAACTGCCCCCCTTGAAGGTCAGGGTCCATTTGAATTCACTAAAAGTAAGTTACAATTCAAACGACACACGTTCTTATGCAGATTTTCTTACCAAAACTGAACTTCTGCATACAGTCTGCGGAGAGACCAAATCAATTTTGTAAATTCTTTGAATTGATCCTTACTCTTGCATCTTAATCACAATTTTTTTTTTAAATTCTTGCCTTTTTGTATCTTGAAATCTGTTTATATATGTCTTGTGCTTCTGTATACTCCTCTGGTTATGCCCTCTCGTTTACATTTTTACATGCATTTTAGGTGGTTATATATTTGGTGATTGAATCTCTCTTTGTGTATTAGTCTGTTAGCTGTATGCAGTATTAATGAAACAAAAAACCTCTGGTTTATGTACTTGGATGCAATCCAATGACATGCAGTGCTAAAATTAGCATTTTGCTTCCATGGCTTGTTTCTCTCTGCAGATGCCCTTGCTGAGTTGGAGCTGTCGTGCATCTCTTTAACTGCCAGGTTCTGATGAGAAGTTTTCCTGTCACATTGATCTAGGACCAGCTAGGACTTAAGTTTGAATAGTACCCATTATGAGAGAATAATTGGTAAAAATGCTCTCTGTAGTACATAAAACAGGAACATCTGTGAAAATCTGCTAGTTTGTCTCATGGTGGAGAAAGTATGGACATTTTTGTGTTTTTGCAGTATTCTGTAGTAAGGCAAGAGGATACATTTGGAATGTATGGTGGAATACGAGAGTGAATGTGTTTGTGAATTGTGTGTATGTGGCATGTTGTGTGTGAGCATATGTATGTGCATGCTTATTCATGAAACTGCAGGGAAGTTTTCTCTCTTCTGTCTTATGAACCTGAGGGGAGAAATAGCATCACTCCATTTGAAGTGCATCAGACACCCTGCCCTACAAACAATATGCCTGCACAGCTTAGGATGCTTATCAGATCTCTCTCTCTCTTTCTCTCTCTCTCTCCCTTTTCGTCTCTCTCTCTAACCTTGAGGCATATGTTTTTCAAGGTGATCATTATCGTCTTTGCACAGTTGTATAGCAGCTCCCTTCTGTAGAATCTCTCTCTATGCATCTTTTACCTGCTGCTGTCCAACTGTGATTTGAAGCGGCTTGTGTGAGCATGCATGCTTTTGTGCACTTGGGTGCCACGCTCTGCAGGAAGTAGAAACTTTGTTAGATTCATTATACTTGAGTACTTATGATGCTATTACATTTTTTAAGCCAGACCAATCATTCCAATTTACTGTATTTACCATTGAGCATACTAAACCTAGCTCGTGTGTTGGAACTGCTGTAGTCAATCATGACCCAACCATTTGTTTTGAAGCATGGTCTCCTACAGTTTAGCATGATTATGCCTCACACACTTACATTTTTTACATCTTAGATCTTATTTAAACGTGTAAGTATCTGTACAAATTAAGGTGTGCTCCTACACTAAGGCATTTTTTCTTAATACATGAAATATGTGTAGATCAATGCTTGAACTATCGAAAAATTCACTAGCTATACCACACTGTGCAAAAGTTAGAGACCACCATTCATGTATTTAATTTCCAGTCAAAATGGCCATTAAGCACAAGCTGTATGAGATATTATGAGATACATGAGATATTACTGAGGAGATTAGACATAGGCTAATCCTCTTGAGTAAGAAAGGGGAGAGTCACAGTTTTTACCTTTTTACAATTAATAACTTATTTTGATCAGAAATAAAAAAAGTAGTCTCTGACTTTTTTGCACAGTGCTGTACATTGTCCAAATTCTGTTTACATAAATATTTGCAGCTTTAACTATAATGTGAAAACAAACAAGTAAACAAATAAATAAATAAATGCATTTGTTATTAACAGAATCTTAGTTAAACAAAAGCTTTACGATCAAAATGTAACTTCACAACTCCTTGCAGTCACATACTATAAATTACACACCAGCCTTGAACAGCATGCTGAACTTTCTCTCTATCCCTCTCTCTCTCTTTCCAGCTCTCGTCCGGGCCGCCCTCCGAAGCGCTCCTTGGGGGTGACCATGCAGGACAGCTCTAGGCTCCTCCCCCACAGCGTCCACGGCCTCCTATCCCCGAGCCTGCTCTCTCCTACAGGTAAATCCTGATCTCACCCAGAGCACCCTGACCACTCCAATGCTATAAATATACACCAGCCACTCGCCTCTGTCCACAATGAATTATGCACTCAGTGGAGGCTGGAAGTCAAAAACAATGAAACTACGACAGGACAGTTTCATCACATCTGCAGGTTGTATCTTATCGTTTTTTCTCTTTTTTATTGTTTTCTTGTTTAGATCCAAAGAGCTCAAGAAGAGGGTGTTTTTGTGTTTTTTTTTGTTTTTTTTTAATCTGTGCTAGCTTTTTTCTTTTTTTCCTTTCTCTCCTTCCCCCTCTTCCTCCCACACCTCTAGCTTCTGCAAATCAGCTTGTATTGATTTTTTTCCTTCTGTCCTTCACTGGCCAGCACTGTGTCTCAAACAGAGGTTAAACTATTGAATTTCTGGAGCCCCCTCCTTTCCCCAGTTATGCACGCATTTGCTCTTCTTTCTCTTTTTTCTCCCTCCTTCTATCTCATTTTCTCTTGTCTTTATCCCTTGCTTTGCCTTTCATCTCTATCTGTCCCTCTGTCATTTTAGAATCTCTATCTCTTATTCAGGATGATTGTTTCTGCTTACATCAAGTCCCTGTTCATCTCTCAGCTGTTCCTCATGTACACACCACACAGACACGCGCACAAACACTTACATGCGCACTCTTGTCTTGTTGAACTGCACAAACTCCCCTCTTTGATAAGTGTAACCACCATGTGTCGCTTGCTTCTTGCTCGTTACGTTCTGTTCACCTCTTTCCCTCTTTGCCCCGGCTCCTCCAAATTGCTGACGGTAGCGGCAATTTGCCCTCACAATGGCCAGCGTGGCCATCGATCGGCAGGGCGCAAGTAGCCGGAGCAGTCAGTTAGCCAGGCCTCACTGATTGATTTCAGATGACTCCTGTTATTATTTCTGCTGGCCAGGGGCTGGGAGAAGGAGCTATTTAAAATGTACATCCACATTGCTCTCCATCCCCCCAGGCTTATCCTATAGGAAGCCAGGACGTTCACAATCATCTTATGATCATCTCACAATCAGAAAAACTGTGTAGAAGTTTGAGTGTCAGTTGCAGTAAATGTACTTGTGTTCTTTTTAGTAGCAAATGTAAAGTTGATATGAAAATATTAAGATTTTTTTTTAGAAAAGTCCAGTCCCGTCTGACATGGTTTAACTTTAATCCAGTATAGATTCAGGAAAAAAAGGTATTGAGCATGAAGTACTAGAAAAACAATTAGTAGAAACATACCACAATAGGATTGTCATAATTATTTAATTAAACTTAAAAAAAAACAACAAAAAAAAATCATTGATTAAATGTACATTCTCAGTGATTCGGATTGTTGATTAAGTTTGTAATTTAAATGATAAAAGGCTGTCCGCAAGTTATTATAAAGCCATGTTTAGCAGGCCTTACAAGGGTGAGCTATTATCTCTCAAGTCGCTTTTGTGAGCAAAGGAAAAGGAAAAGACCTGCACCAGCAGGATCTTCTATGTTTGTAGTCACAAAGGATGGTTATATGAGGTAAAAGTGTATATATAGTGCAAGGTTTTGATTAACTAAGTCTAGGTAGAACAACTTCGCAGACAGTCAGGCTTTGCCAATAGAAACATACAAAACAAGAATATATCACGTGATTGTCTGTTACAAGCTTTAATGCCTCAAATGTCTGTGTTTAAGTCAAATTTACCTGAATATTGGTAGTATTAAAAACCTGTAAGAGAAGTGAATGTGCACCACTTTTAGCTTGGCGTAAACTTAACTCCAGTAGAAGTGCTAGCAGAAATCAGCATTATCACAGCAATGATACTTAGGCTGCTTATAAAGTGATGCTTTCTACATTAAACTCTGCTATAAAACATGCACAGCTATGCCAAGTGGAAAGCAGCGTTAAAGATTTCTCAGAATTTCTCAAAGTGATATTAAAAATGACATACAAAGCATTAAATTGAATTTGCTGTTAGCTGCAGATGCCCTGATATAGCATGTTTTATATTCCCCTACTGATCTCTCGTTCAGAAGGAAACAGATCCTTACAGACACACATATTTCTATGCCATGTTTTTGCCAAATAGTATACTTGCACAGATCAGGCATAACATTATGACCACCTCATTGTTTCTATGCTCATTGTCCATTTTATTAGCTCCACTTACTATATAGGTGCGCTTTGTAGTTCTACAGTTACAGACTGTAGTCCATCTGTTTCTCTGCGTACTTTGTTTGCCCACTTTTACCCTGTTCTACAGTGGTCAGGACCCCCCATGGACCCTCACAGAGCAGGTACTATTTGGGTGGTGGATCATTCTCAGCACTGCAGTAACACTGACGTGGCGGTGGTGTGTTAGTGTGCGCTGGTATGAGTGGATCAGACACAGCAGTGCTGCTGGAGTTTTTAAACACTGTGTCCACTCACTGTCCACTCTATTAGACACTCCTACCTTGTCAGTCCACCTTGTAGATGTAAAGTCAGAGACGATAGCTCATCTGCTGCTGCACAGTTTGTGTTGGTCATCCTCTAGTCCTTAATCAGTGGTCACAGGATGCCGCCCTCAGCAAGCTGTTGGCTGGATATTTTTGGTTGGTGGACTATTCTCAGTCCAGCAGTGACACTAAGGTGTTTAAAAACTCCAGCAGCACTGCTGTGTCTGATCCACTCAGACCAGTGCAACACACACTAACAAACCACCACTACGTCAGTGTCACTGCAGTGCTGAGAAAGATCCACCACCCCAAATAGTACCTGCTCTGTGAGGGTCTTTGGGGGTCCTGACCACTGAAGAACAGAGTAAAAATGGGCTAACAAAGTATGCAGAGAAACAGATGGACTACAGTCTGTAATTGTAGAACTACAAAGTGCACCTATATAGTAAGTGGAGCTGATAAAATGGACAATGAGCGTAGAAACAAATAGGTCATAATGTTATGCCTGATCGGTGTATTTCAGATGCTTCTTTTTTATCTCTTTCTTCGAAGCGTTTTACAGTCTGTGCGTAGTAACTGTTCAGTTAAAATAAAAAATACTTGATTAGTTGTAAAATAATCAATAGATTACTTGATTACTAATATAATTGATTGTGATAGCCAGGTATCACATTTCAACTTTGAAATGACTTTAAAATTTGTGTATTGAATTTGCATTTAAACTTCAGTTTGCCTTTTGCTTTGCTCTTCATACCTTTTTAACAGCCAAATTCCAGTATTCACACAAAATAAAAAAATATATACTACATGTACAGAAAAGCTTAATATAGATGTTGATATTGATGATAATACATGTTAAATGTTAATGTTAAAATACATAACATCTAAGAACATGACTGATTTGAGCTGGATTTCGATTCAGCTTTTGAAAGGAATTACACAACATCCATATGTTCAAGTATGCTGAAACGATTGCCATTATCTTCAACTTGGACCCTCAGTGTCCATGTGTGTACTCCTTATTTTGAGCAGATGCCGCCACATGCCACTTATAATAAAGGATCTAGATCATTCAGCGTCCTGTAGTTGCAAATGATCGCAACAACGCAGAGATGCATTAAGAAGTAACTCAGTGTGTTGCCAGAAATAACTCCCATTAATTTTCAATTATTGAAGCAAGTAGTTGCATTGTATACAAGCTGATTAGTGTCGCTATAAAAATGTGGGATGACTTTGATCCTGATTACCAGGATGAGTATTGAGAATAAGATTTTCTAATTTGGTTTTAATTACATTTGTCATTATTGGCAGAATTAATCGATTAATTCAATGTTTTAATAGTTCAGTTGTATCCATCTACTGGCAGAATGAAGTATCTACAGTATTGTATAAAAGTACAAGACAAATAAGTAATTTGATTAAAATCATTTATCTGCAAAATAAATGTTTTTTGCTTGTAAAAATGGCATGTAACATTAGAATAAATGGCAACAAATATGAATGCAATAAAATATAACAAGAATTTCTAAATTTTAAGTTTTAAAACAAAAAGCAGCTGATTTCTTTGAGCTAGTTAGATGATCAGTTAGAAGAGATTTGGTTCTGTATTTCTCACTGACGCCCCCAGTCATTGTATAGATTTGTTAAATTCTATCACCAGCGCACCTGATTTACCTTAATGAAGCATTGCTTGAGCTAAGCCAGGTATTAGATAATGATGTCTAATACAAGGGGCAATTTGGAAATGGTTAACTGAAAGCATAAATGGAATCAATACTCATTGTATTAATGTTATTTATATGTATTGTGATAATGGTATTTTTCGGCGCTAAAAAAAACCTGATTGGCCAGATAATTAGCTTCTTGAATATATTTTCCCTAAGACCTTTACAGTACTGTATATGACATAATAAAAGTAAATTCATTTTTTGGCATTTAATCAATAGATTTCAAAGTAAGAAAAAAAGTGTTTTTTCCACATTCTCTCGCCATAAGCATTGAAGCATTCTGTAGATGTTCTGTGCGTCCTCTCTGCCCCGCTGCAACCAAACCAGCAGCAGATTCAGATCAGAGTTGTCATTTAATTATTAGCAGCAATTTGGGCTGTTATTTCCACCTAATGCCGTAATTAGCGGGAACAAAGTGGCCGGCTTGGCTTGCCCGCCGCTCCGCCTGCCGTTCAGTAGCGGATATCAATGTTCGGCATCGCTCTCGAAGAGAGAGAGAGTGAGCGAGAGCAGCCTGTCTCAGGAGAGTGGGAGCATTCTTTTTTTCACTCTCTCTCTCTCTCGAAGCTTTCAGTCATTCGAGGCAAGAGCAGGGAATCGCTCAAACGAAGAGAAGAAGAGATTAAGGTAGAGAAGGGAGGGAGGAGAAGAAGAGCAAAACGAGCGTTGTTGTGGGGTTTGTCTTGCGTTTAGTTTGCTGGATTGCTGTTGACAGAAACATCATAAGCCCGTGGCACTCCGGGGAACAGAGCTAACAGCGGGACATGGGGGAGTGCGTGAGTGCACGCGTGCGAGAGAGAGAGAGAGAGAAAGAGAGAGAGATGTATTCACAGGTGGATTTTCCTCTACTCCTGC